CCCCCCCTCCCCCCCCAGTCGCAACGAAAGGGCCCGGCTGGGGCTTGGGAGAGGGAGCAGGACTGTGAAGGCGACCCTCGGTTTCCCTCAGCGTTGTTCTGGAGCCCCCCGTGGCCGGGCCTACCTTGGCCCTGAGTACCCCTGGAGCGGCAGTGCTGGGGGGCCTCAGGGCCGTGGTAGGCCTAGCCGATTGACAGCTTGCCCTGCTAGGCCTCAAAGCACCGGAGCATGAGGGAAGACATCGCCTCAGCAGGCCCCGTTCCAGCCCCACCTCAGTGCCCAGGTGTCCAAATTGGTGGAGAGTTGATCCATGCCTTCTGTCCTGAAGTTGTACCATGTGACACTTAGTGGTCGGTGCGAGGTGGGAACCGTTAGTCTCTTTAAAAATCATACCACTGTGTTTAAAATGCTGTAAGTGATGTGTTGGTAGAGTGTGAGGTGTTACTATGTGAAGCACATCAGGGATTGAGGACTGCTAACAACAGAAGTCAAGACATTGCCCACCTGAAGCACAGTGTCCAGCTCTGGGTCCCTAGCACAAGAGAGACATGGAGCTGTCAGAGCTGATCCAGAGGAGGGCTGTGGAAATGATCAGAGGAATGAAGCACTTCTCCTGTGAGGAAAAGCTGGGAAAGTTAGGGTTGTTCAGCCTGGAGAAAGGAAGGCTCTAGGGAGACCTTATTGTTGCCTTTCAATAGATAAAGGGGGCTTATAGGAAAGATGGAGACTTTTTACAAAGGCCTGTAGTGACAGGACAAGGGGCAGCAGTTTCAAACTGAATGAGGGTAGGTTTAGATAGGACATAAGAAAGACATTTTTTACAGTGAGAGTGGGGAGGCATTGGCACAGGTTGTCTAGAGAAGTTGTGGATGCCCCTGCCCCCGACAGGGCGGTTGGGCTAGATGATCATAGTATCATAGAATGGTTTAAGTTAAAAGGGAGCTCAAAGGTCATCTAGTCCAACCTGTCTGAAAGGTACCTTCCAACCATTTCGTGATCTTGCGAATAGGTGAGAGTTTAGATCTGATTAGGAACCCTCCAGTCACCCTCATCACTCAGAACAGATGTGTTAATATATACTTTTCTAAAGAAAATACTTTTTTTTTTTTTAGATCCTTAAAAATATTTCCCCTGTAGCATGTGAAAGGTGATCAGAAAGATGTATTTCTTTGTTAGTTTTGTTTTGAAAACTTTGCAAAGGCTGTTTTGTTTATGCTGCTCATGACTTGGTGAAGAACAGAGCAGTGCTCATGCAGGTCATGCCCAGCTAATATATGACCAGCAGTGTGTCTTTCCCCACAGAGTGCTAGTGGAGGATGCGGTGAATGCAGGTGATAGGTGCACAGTTTCCTTCCTTCTCCCTGCTTCAATAAATCCAACTCCTTCACAGGAGACATGCCCCCAGCTCTTAGACATGAATCAGTTGCCTTAAGTTCCCACAGTCCGCTTCTGTGGTGGTGAAAGCAAAAGCCAGCTGTGAAGAGTTGCAGAAGGACTTTGTGACAGCGAGTGATTTGACTGTAAAATAGCAGGTGAAAATCCAGCTTTGATAAGTGGACAATAATGCATGCTTATCTTCCAGAGGGAAAAGAACTATTAAGAAAAGAAGAGTGTTGTTGTGACTTTGTGTTGGAAATGGTAGCCCATCCTTTCGAAGGTCACTTGCTCCTCTTGGAACGTAGCAGGAATAGAGAAGAGCTTGAGACGTGGCAGGGATGATCAAGGATGCAGAGCAGCTTCTGTACAAGGAAGAAGTAAATACTTTCAGGCTCTTCAGCTTGAGAAAGAGACAGTAGTAGAAATAATAACGGATCTATGCTGTCACGGGTGTTATTGGACAAGCTGAGTAAGGAACAACAATTTCTTGCCTCTTCAGACAGAACCTGGGGTGTCAGAGCAAGGCGTTGTTTAGGTGAAATGAAATTGAACTTCAAAACTGGAACCATGCCCTCAGCCTCTCCCTTGATAGCAGGCAGCCAGATCCGTTGCCCTGTTTAGCCCAGTTTCCTGTCCCTGGCAGTAATGTGTAGCAGAAAGTGGGGAAAGAGCACAGGGCCAAAGCCACACTCATGTGAGGGACAGGATACTGAGGTAGACAGGGCAGCGGGTGCAGGCTGGCTGCTTCCCCAGTGAGGAATGGCCAAGAGCTGCCCTTCTACCACCTCACGGTTTCTGCAAAGGTGCTGGAGAAACCCAAAGGCCGACCTTGACTGAGTGTCCTCTTTTCTTCTGCAGCACCTGGATTTCTCCTGAGCCTGTAAGAACACTTGGGACTGTAGACTCCACCTTTAGCCTCTTCCTCACAAAATTCCCAGCGCTGGATCATCTGACCGGGCCTGGGCAGGGCCTATGTATCTGCATCGATTCCAGGTGTTGACTTGCTGCAGAGAACTTTTCCTGAGTGCTAGACCATTCAAACCCTAACTTGTTCTGCTTTTTAATTTCTTCCCGTCTTTGTTTTCTATTCTAATATTTCTATACATTTCAATTTGTTTCTACTGTATTTATTTAATGCTTAAGTTCTGAGGCTTATTTGATAGTCACCATATCGGTGGATATTGGAAATCAGTCCCAATGCTACCTTGCTTAGAAGAGGTAGAAGGACGGGGAAAGAAAACCCAGATGAGTGTGGAGGCGAAGTGACTTGCTGGGGTTAAGTAAATTCTCAGTGGCAGAGCCAGAGGAAAAAAAAATTTAAAAATCCCTTTCTGCTCTGGTGGTGGTCTCATCTGAGATACCTCCTCCACTTTATGGAAGGGAGACAGGAACTAATGGAAGCAGAGGTTGGCTCTTGAAAGCCACAGAAAGGTGTGCAGGATTTGCTGGTCTGTGAGATTTCCTACCTGTTTTGTACTTGGACCTTAGTGCCTCTCTGTCACTAGATTCATTTAACTTCAAATCTTCTTACTTCTTGTAAGTTAAAGCAGACTTTTCTTCCCCTTATCCTACAGGAGTTTGTGCCGCCAGAGGTGACGCCTCCAGCAAAGGGCAGTTTGGAGTATCACATGTAGTAGGAGTGGGAAATTGTTGAAGATATCTGCGGTGGACTAGCTCAGAAACCACAGACAAAGTAAAACTTCTGCTATTAATGTGTCGTGTCATGCTCTCAACTACTGGTGAGGGATGTGGGTAAAGGCTTATCCAGAAACATTCACACTGTTTTGGGAAATAAGTAGCTGACCTTAAATTTTAGCAGCTGCTGGGGAAAATCGAGACTGTGAGAAGATGATCAATTATGACTTGAGTGGATATGGCCAGAAAAAGAGAGCGAATGCCCATGGGGCAAATCCCAGGATATAGAGAAAATTGTGTTGCTCAAGTTAGCACTCCACCTCATTGAGAGACAATGTTCAAATCTCTTGTTTCTGGCTCTTCTGCCTCCTTTTGCTTGCAAGCCTCTGCAACCTTCTTTGCTACATCCTTTCTGTAGCAAGGAATTAGCTTTTCTTCTTATGTGAACTCCTGGAAGGCACTGGAGAAATTTAGAGACAGCAGTTTTTCTCTCCTTGGTTGACTTGCAGACTCACATGTGGCAAAACTTAAGGCAGACACTGCTATGGATGACTGACCCCCTGCAAATAAATGGGGTTTCACATCTAGGACGTGACTTGCTGCCCCGCTCTTGGGCTTGTTCTTGGAGCAGATATTGCCAAGCAAGCTTGAAAGCTCTTGCATTATCCCCCATGACTTGTTAGTGATTTTCCAAGAGGAATTAAACCAGTTTTCCTCCTCCTCTATCTGCTGGAGCTTCTGGGAGCTGGTTTCCATCCCACTGCTGTCTCAAGAGCAAGTGTGCCTATGCTACTAGTAGTTGCTGCTGGAGGAGCAAAGCACCGAGGTTCAGGAGATGTAGGTGAAGGAGCCAATTGGAGGACAAGTGCTAGCAAGCTCTGCTCTTCTTGTCCTGCTTGGCATATGGTAGTTGCATCAATTGCTTTGTGTTTTGTCCCAGTTTTCCTGCTATAGGTTTTTTTGCGGATAATGGCGAAGATGGTGAGAAGAACATGTGCGTTTTGTGCAGAAGGGGAGGCTGGCTCTGTAATGTATATTGCTGAAGAGCGAGATATTGCAGCTCATCAGGATTGTCTGGTGAGTGGCTTTTAGTTGGTCAATACCCAAGAGGAATGGAGAAGGGCTAAAGGGGAAGTTCCCACTGCTTGTCGATTTTTGTCTCTACAGTGGTGTCTGAATTAAAAGGTTGGTTACCCAAACCAGCAAGCTTATGTTAGATTGAAAAGCTATGAAAAGCAACAGGGCTTGGCCAGAATTTTGGAGAGGAGGAGGACTCGGCTGCACATCTGGACACATTGATTTGTGGTGTTTTCATGTGTGTCTGTTCCTGATCAGTGGTTCTAGACACATGTACAGTCTAGCAGTAGGAATGGGCCTTCTTGAGGCACTAAATGGAATGAGGCTTCTCAGACCACTGAAAGTTGTGTACTTAAACCTTTGCAGGAAAATACTGACAGCACTTGATATACAAAGGTCAAAAACTTTCCAGTCTGTGCCTTGTATGAAATAAGGAATACAAATATCAGAAGTTGATTATATTAAAATATCTGTGAAGCTCTTAAGCATGTTGTGATCATGGAATGCATTTACTCTCCTTGCTTTCAAAATGCCTCCCCTTTATTCTGAGATCTTGATGGAGCTGGTTCTTGATGTGCAGAATCAATGACAGATGCCACTTTCTTCTTTCGCTGAGGGTCGCTTAGTGCAGGAGATGCATCTGCTGCTGGAACAGGTCTCTGGCTTTCACTGTTGCAGCTGCCTTGTTCTGGCAGGTTTTATGTGTACATCTTTATTTTTCTACTACCTTTTTTTTCCCCAGAATGTTTCAGAAACATCTGATACCTATTTTACAGTGTTACTTGGATGTTTTGCTCCAACTTTGAAACTTTATCTTTCTCTTTTTTTTTTTTGTTTTAATTGCAACAGCTTTACTGATTTCTCTGCCTTGGTCTTCTCTGCACTTTTTGGTTTTTTTTGCAGTTAGCTGTCACCTTCTGAGCAGGCAGACTGTGCCTGCCAGTTAACATAAGGGTTGATCACTTTTATTTGAAATTAGCTATATGTAATGATTAGAAAAAAGTTGCTAAGAACTTCCCCTTCCGCCCTGACTCAGCACTTCTGTGGGAATTAAAATGGCCCAGACATGCATGTATGCATTTTGGGAGGGTTTCTCCCAGACTTCCTACAATGTTCCTGTTTCTCATGCAGTTGACTGTTGTCAGCATTGGACTGTGTAGAAATTTCGTTACATGGAAACGTTGCATCCAGCTGTAAGGCTGAACAACGGGACAGGCAACAAGATGTTCAAGGTGAAACCTCTTAAAAACACAGATAAAAATCAGCCCTCTTAGGTAGAGCAATTGCAAGAAGAAAAGATGTACCCTTCCTCTCTTTTCTGCACTGGTGACCGAGTCCCTTTGTTCATTTCTAATATTGTCTCTTTTGTCTTTAGTTATTTTCCTCGGGATTTGTGGAATCTGAAGAGTACAACCCAGATAATCTGGATGTCAGGTTTGATGTGGCATCGGTGTTGAAGGAACTCAGGAGAGGAAAGCGGCTGGTAAGGAGTTTCTGCACTTAGCCCTGTCTCATAGTACTGAAGGTTGTCTGACCCGTTTCCTGCTTGAAAAAAATGTGGAAAAGTGCTTGGTCCTTCTGATCTACTAAGATTTAGGAAATTACAGATTTAGAGTTGGAAACACTGATTTGACAGTTGATTATATTTCTTATATAATCTATATATAATAATATGAAATATTATTTTGATGATGTAATTATAACATCGATTATATTTGTTGAAGTTTGGTTCATTTGGTATTAAAATGTGTTGTTTTTTCTGCCCTTTAAGTCCTTAATCTAAGTTTCCTAAATGACTTTGGTGAAGGACTAAGCCAGCGCCTGAAACAAAATTATGCAATCCATAAGTGTAAAGGGAAACACCTTCTGGTTTTAGTTGAAGGAAGTTTATTTTTGTGAGGTTTTCTTACTGGCTTTGTCTTCAGCTGCCGTCCTCCCCTACGTCCTGGGTGGAACTCTTTTTCATTTCATTATGAAGTTAGCTTAGAAAACATAAATTACAAGGACTAATACTATAGGCGTTTAAATAACTTGGGCAAGATTTAGGGGAGGGAGGGAAGCTGCCCGTTGCCCTTACATGGCTTCTTGCAATCATTTTACAAATTCATCAGTATGAAGTAGAGGTAAGATAGCAAAAAGGTGCCTGAAATAATGACCAGGGTAGGAGTTTGTAGGAGTGAGCTTGCCTGATGAGTTATACAGAAGCAAAAAAAGGTTTGGTTTTCCCACAGAGGGTAGTATTACACTAAAGGTTGTATAACTAATATAATGGCAACAACAATGCACTATGAAACGCAAACAATAACAGCAACAATTTGCCTGCAGTAAGCCTGGCCGCCTGGCAAATAAACAAGCCTATTCAAACAGAAATACAGTGGAGCAAAACCAAGAATACACTCAGAGAAACCTAGAAATGAACCTGAGGAGAAATATAAAATACACTCAGGAAGTATACACCTGAGAAGGAAATATATATGAAATACACTCGGGGTGTATGAACCTGAGGAGGAAATATATCACTCGGCGTTAGCTGAGGTAAATAATCTTACCCACAAGGTGACCCAAGTGGTGGGGATGGAGAGGGAGTGAATTCGTCAATCCGTCCAGTTCATCGGTATGGTTCCGAGTTCATCCTGTCCCGCTTTTTGGGCTGAAATTGAAGTGATATTTATACGCAAATTTCTGCATTACATCACCAGGGCATACATGCGGGTGGGGATGACTATAGACAATCTTACCACTTATGTTAACGTCACAAAGTCCGTTAATCCACACCTGCATGGGTAGAGGTAATGGCGTCTTTGTTTGAGGCGGAAAGAAATGGGGAACTGGGACCAGGAGGCCTCCCCCTCATTTCACACTCCTCCAGGCATCCAGATACCACCAGATGTGGATCTAGTGATGGTTGCCCCCTTGCCCAGTGCTGAGTTTCGTGCTTCCAGGCATGCAGCTACATGGTGTACATGACTCGGACTTTGTGACTAACTTTTTCTGTCTCTCTACAAATGCTTATCTGCTAAACCTCCTCCTGTTCCAGGTGTGCAACTTCTGTCGCAAGAAAGGAGCCACTGTGGGATGTGAGGAAAGGGCCTGCCGCCGAAGTTACCACTACTTTTGTGCACTCTGCGATGATGCAGCAATAGAAACTGATGAAGTAAATGGAGTTTACCGGTATTTAACTAAGTATTTTCTAATTATTGTCGAGGTTTTGGTGGTGGTGTCAGGAAGAGAGACTTAGAAATTGTGTGGCTTTAAATGTTTTTTAAAAAGGAAATATGTTCTCTTCTCTTAAACTGACGCTTGATCCTCTGTTCACAAGCAATAGAGGAAGTATTTTCCTTTCATAGGAAAATATCACAGCAGTGGGAGGAGATCTATTCAGTGTTTGAGCCTGCAACACACCTGAAAGATGACTGGGCCAAAATTGAGGAAGTGAATGCATTCAGTCCTTGGTCTTTGAAGACTAGCTACGTAGCCAGTAAGGTTTTTATTAACGTCACTGAAATTCTCTATTTCTGTTAGTTCAGAAGCTTCAGTTAGATAGTCTGAGCACAGAGCAAGCTACAGCACTTCTGGATCTGTTCACATGAGGCAAATTCTACTAATTTTCCTTCCATGTGTTAGCAGAGAATTTTGTATTCCCACCAAAGACCTCCTTGTATTTCAAGTACGTTGTTAGCATTAGCACAAGTAAACAGAATTTAAGTAAGTTTTCTGCCCAGATCATGGTAGTCCTGGTGTCCCCTGCCCTTGGGTTTTCTGCATTGCTGTTAGATGGAAGGAGTTGTTTGGAGGATGCAGATGAAGGAGTTGCAAAATTGGGACTTTAGGGACCTTTTGGAGCGCTATAGTAACGTCTGAGGTACATAAAACCCCCAGTGTCCATTTTGGTGCAGGGCCAGAGAGATCACAGGCTATGTTAGCCTTAGATTAATCTGGTAGACCATCTGATCACTGCTTGTTTCAGGAGAAGGTGGACTAGTGCAGTCCTTAGTAGTAGTGGGAGATGGGTCCTTTTGTGTGAAAACACTGGCACTCCTGACTGCTTCACTAGGGCTCTCGGTCCAAAAGAAATCGGTCCTTCTGCAAGACTGTGGGCTCAGCTGTATAGAGAAGATGGTATGTTCAGTTTATGTTCAGTTTATGCTTATAAAGCCTTTGGGAGTCTGCAAAGCTCATGAAAGAGCGTAGCTGGGAGGATGGAAACTTTCTGTGACCACAGAATAAATGGCTCTCGTCATACAGCTTTAGAAAGAATAGTTCAGGCTGAAGGAGGGTGAACTTCTCAAGATGTTGAGAAATGAATGGGACTGATAATGGTCTAGAGACAAACTGGTAAAGAAGTAGTTAAACATATATATATAGTTTCATTTGGTGGTTTTCTGAGTTGCTGGTGACCTTGGAGGTTTGGAAGAGGGACCCTAAAAAATGCCTTGTATTAAGTCACTGTGTGAGACTGGTTGCTTGTCCTATATAGAAATAGAGGAAAGTAGGCTGTAGCAGCCTGGATAGAAGAGATTAAAAAGGACTGGATTAGAGAAAAATGGTGAGGCAGGTTTCAGGGATTTGAGCCCAAAGACTTTTGCATGGTATCAGTGGCATAAATAAAGCACAAAATTTGTAGGTAGCCTGAAATTATTGTAGAGAAGAGGAACAAGACTTAAAAAACAGCAGGCATGGATTGACAGCCCCTGCACCTTTTCATGCTGAAATGTATCACATGCTGAAAAGCATATCAAAATAGAGAATTCCTGAGAGAGAGAGGAAAGGTGGTTTTAAACTCTAGGTTGCCATCGTAATGGTGAGCAGTGACTATCAAAGCAAAAAGGGCAGAACAAAGAAGAGAAGGCACACAACGCTGTGGACGTGGCCATTAAGTGTAGAAGGCACAGGAATAAGGGTGATCCGTACTGTCATCTTGTAAAATTGATGGTATGGAAGTGCTTCCAAGTAAAGTGGCCTGAGTAGTAAAAGGTATTGAAGATGTTCCTGTATTTAAGGACATTTGTTTTTATCTGAGAAAGAACAGAATTAAAGGGAAGGGAGGTGAAAAACAACCTCCAAAGGGCAATATTAGAAATTCAGGAGTGTAAATAAGATGCCTCCAATACTGAGCTTTCTGATTGAATTGTTAGGCATGCATAAATCTGGGGGGTTTTATGCATCAAAATGAATTTCATGCAAAAAAGCTGTCTCGTCAAGAAAACAGACTATGTTTCTAAGGTCAGTGCTTGTATTTTGTTAAAATAAAAAGAATGGCAATAATTAGAAAATATCCTAGTAAGTAATGGAATCATAGAAAACCAGGTTGGAAGGCACCACAGGGATCACCTAGTCCAGCCTCTCGAGGTAGAAGTACAGTTTAAATGAGATGAGTCAGCACCCTGTCAAGCTGACTCTTAAAACTGACCAATGTAGGGGAATTTACCACTTCCCCTGGGAGATTGTTCCAATAAATGCAGTTCCCTTTAAAAATTGCTTCCAAACACTTGAACGTTAGTCTTGGCAAATAGGTGTGTAATGAAGAGATCTGCTGAACCACAGCTTTGTCAAGGGTGCTTGGCTTAAAAAGTGATTTGGGATCCTTCTGTAAGAAAGGCATTTTACAGAAGCTGGTTCATGTTCTCTACGTGTTATTGTATCCAGAAGATAAGGAATATTTCCAGCTGTATTTGTTGCATTTAGTCTTAACAAGGCGTTTCAATAAGCAAACCTCTGCCACGGTGATCACCGCACCAGGTGAAATGTGCGTGACTCGGGATTTGGACAGGAAGCAGGTCCAAACGGAGTGGGGTAATGGAACTAATGATTCAAAGCTTCAGTGTTCAGAGTCCACTGAGGCTCTGAAAGTACAAACACAAGCTTGTGCATGTATGTGAATTTACAGCAGGTGCTTTCCTAGGTGGGTAACGTGGAATAAAAATCCTGATAATGTTTGTAAGCGTCTTTCAGTTTACATTCAATGAATAGAGGGGAAAATATCTGTTAAAATCAGTCAGCATAACTCTGTTTACGTATTTATTAATACTTTTTCTCTTTTTCTTAAAATTGATCTGAAATTTTAGAGTGTTCTGCCCAAAACATGACCCAGGCAATAGGACCAATCACTATGGTGAGTTTCTTTAATGGCTTCATTGATTTCATTTGTTTTAAAAGTTTGCAGTAACACATTTGGACAAAATAAATGTTACTCCACCTTTATATTTGGTGGTGGATTTCTAATCTTGCAGGAGTGGTTTGGTTGAGATCCATGCATGTGCACAGAAATTGTGAAGGTTTTTTGAAGTAGGAAGTGTTTATAGTTGATCTTCCCTGAATGTCTCTGAAAAGTGACTTAAAACACTGTGGACCTGATCCTTTGTGGAATTATTCTGACTGTGTGCAGGCAGGTAGGCCCAGGCAGCTTGGGAGAGATGAGGACCACACTAATGAGTGATGCACAAGCTTACACTTGATGAGCAAAAAGAGGGCTGTTACAGGAGAGCTCACCTTGGGATTTTTAGCCATAGGTACATTAAAACGTTCACGTTTGCATCCTCTGTGTTCACAGCAGTTGTTTTTAAATAGGGCCTTTCATTCTGAAGGATCCCAAAGGGCTTTTTAGGTGTAACTGGAGGCTTTTACAACCCCTGTTTAAGGATTTCTTCCTTTGCTACAGAAATGCAGCCTAGTTTGGCAGTCCTGGTCCTTGCTGATCCAGAGGTCATCACAATCTCGCTGAATTAACCAAAGCTGTGGGTGTGCTCCCACTGAAATCTAGCGAACCTTGGCTAATCTTTTTGACAAAGTTTGGCTCCACCTTGATGCCACTCAAGGGGCAGGTTAGGTGGTTATCAGTTAAAATTTTAGTCATAAGGTCCCGTGCCAGACATACAGTTCATTTAACACCTGGTACTGCTGTGGTTCACTAACCTTCTTATTTCACATAGTGGTTTTACTTGTTACTTATCCATAGTTTTGAAGCCCAACATTCGCTCCCTTTTTCAAATTAATTTGGTTTTTGTGGTGTAATGACTCAGTCTGCTGGGTTTCTCCAGGGTCCCAGGTGGTCTCCTGCCATAGTACTAGACAGGGCCAGGATTGCTTTGGTTCCAGGATGAGATGAGATCAGGGCATTAGGCCCAGCCCTGTAGACCACCTCCTTCATTAGGGAGGCTTAAATCATATGAGATTGAAGGTCTTAGTGTCATCAAGTGCTACATACACAATATATGGCCTGAGAAGAGGCTTTTCTCCTAGAGGAGATCTTCCAAAGGCACTGAATTTGAAGACCCTCTGTTTATGAGGGCCAAGTGGCTTCTGCTGCAGTGTCTGCCCTGCCTCCTGAATGAGTTTCTCCCACCTCTGTACCCCAGGGGATGGGGAGCAGCCGTGAGAGTTGGGTAAATGAGACTCGGTTCCCCAACCCCAATGCCTCATGCCTCTGAGCAGCTCTTGGATGCATGTGTGGTGCTCAGAATGGCTGGGGGTGTCTGCTGGTGGCTTGGCTGAAGCAGTGGGTGCTCTGTTGGACCCACTCCTGGCCCGTCTGGGCAGGCAGGGGCCATCTGTGCTGAGTGTGTTTGCAGGTCCATGTCGGGCAGGGAGTGAGACAGGCTGGGATGGAAGCGCTGTGGCTCCACAGCAGAGTTTTGACTTTCGGGATCCAACTCCAGTGAGGTAGCTCAGCTGTTCCTCTGGGACAGTTGAGCCAGCACTGAGCTTGTGTGGGAGCAGGAGCTGGTACGAAAGGGCTGTCTGTCTGGGCTTGTTTTCCCCAGTAGCTTGGAGAAAATGGGGTCAAGGAATATCCCCTTGTTCTGTGCCGAAATGTGAGGGCTTGGCTATGTGACCAGAAGAGGATAGGGTACCTTAGGGGCCAAGAGGTCTCCTTGCAGCTCTGTGCAGCAGGGCTGGGAGGGCAGTTTGGACTGGGAAACAGGCTCCAGCCTCTGCTTAACTGGAGGTGTTGGATGTGCCCAGAGTAAAGGCTGACAAATGCAAAAGAGCAGAGAATGCTGTGGGAAGCAGGAAGAGTTTGGCTCTTCAGACTGTGTTCTCCTTAAACATTAGGCATCCCTAAAGCAAACATCAGGAAGAGCTGAGGAAAACCTACCACGGATCAAAGATGTCCTGCTAAGCAGCAGGCTGCACTTAGTGACTACACCAGCATCTCCTAGACTGCTCCAGATTAGGCCTCCCAGCTTTATTTTGGGTGAAGTGAGAGGCTAGGACTTCATTTCAGGCCATGAAAAATGCAGATGTACAGCACCATGCTCAAAGGAGAGTACTCCAAGCCCAAACTTGTTTCAGTAGCCTTCCTGTACCAACAGTGACTCCTCATTCCTTTTAATAGGATGATTTTTAACATGAAAAACCTTACTAACTTTGCTGGTACATACTGATAGGACAGAGTGAGAACAGGTGATGTTGTGGAGATCTCATACCACGTCACTTAAAAACACTTTGTAGCGTAACTAATATTGAACTTACAAGTCAGACTGCTTCTGGAGGCTTTCTAGGAGGTCATTGTGTTGATGAAAAACCCAATGTCATTCGTATGGCTTTGGGACACCTGAAATAATTCTTTGTATACTCTTAGCTTTGTGTATTGACTTCATAAATGATTGACTGAAAACAGTCATCTTTCATGAATCTGCCTCAAGTTTTTACCACCTAGAGGTAGTGCTGCTGCCAAGGAGAGTCAGTTCTCTCTGCTACAACCAAAAGTCTTACATTAAAAACTGGTGTTTGCTTTATACTGACTTCAAAAGGCAGTGATATCCTAATGCTACGGTGATTTGCACTTCTTCCTAATGGCTCAGGGCTTGTTATTTTTCTTAAGTGGAAATAATGTGAATTCCACTGAAATGTCAGGTATTTGGGGAAGTGAAACAGACTCTTGCCTTGCCACTCGAAGTGCCTCACTTTTGTTGTCTTTTGGGGAAAGAGAGAATTTGAATGATGTGAAATTGTTAGTCTGACATTGACACATTTGTTGTTTCTTGATTCCTAGGTGCAGCCAGTAAGAGGAGAAAACATACATTAAAATCCTCCACCATCATGGATCAAATGGTAATTCTGAGTTTAAGTAGTTCTAAAACAGGAACCCACATCTGCTACAGCGAAGGACTTCCTTAGTGCAGGATTTTGGCAGTGTATTCAGAAAGAGACTTTCTCACAGAAACAATAACTTTTCCTTTACAGCTGCCTTGTTTTGATCTTGTCATTCTGTCAAAACAAAACTGTTTGCTTTTGGAGCTGCTTCAGGCATTGGGAAATGTGGAATAAATGCGGTAGGAACCTCCGAACCAGGCTGACTCGGTGGCTGTGCTCTTGACACGAGCAGAACGAGCTTCCCTTAGGGGGCTCCTTTTCCTTGCAAGTACTACATCTTGCAGATTTGCTTAGGGCTTGACAATGTTTCCATGAAAAACTGCTTTTAAATTAGCACTCACTCGTCTGTGAGCCTGTGCTCGCAGTGAACGTGGCAGATTTTCATTGCAGATCAGGCAGTTCTCAGCTCTGCAGGTGAAGGTGGCCTTCACAGGGCTTTGGGAGCTGTCAAGCAGAGCATCTCTGCTTGCAGGAGGAACTGGTTTAGGGGCTTTTGTAAGAAAACCTGTAAATGCTGCTTATTTTAAGTTTTGGGGTGACTCCTTTGGCTCCACAGAAGTATGCATGGGAACTCCCATTGACTCTTGGGGCGTCAGGATCTCTCCTTTCTAGAGGCCATTCCCAGGTCTTGAAATTAAAGAGAGGCCATGTGAGGGGACACGGACGACCTTTGCAGCTGTTATGTAGTACTTCAGAAGGGTAGGTTATTTGTCTCTTGGGAGTTTCTCATCTGTAAATCCACTTAGGTTCATGGTGTTATACCTGAGATCCATGTGACCTTTGACCCACAGTAATGTGCTGGTTCTGCTGCTGCTCTCCAGCACTAGCGATCTTGGAAATCAAGACAAACACTGCAAATAAGAAGCTGAAGGGCTCCAGGATTTATCACTGTGGGTTAAATTGCTCACCATTGTGTAAGCAATGCATTTTTACACTGGTGTAGTTTTGTGGCAGAGCCTAAGGATTATTTGTAGTAGTGAGGCTTGATGGAAAGTGCAGAGAATGACTGTGTCCTGTCCAAAGGAAAAGAAAAATACTCCTCTTCTCCTCAAAACCTTTATAGTATTACTTCTGGTGCAGGAAGCTGACATCAGTGGCACTGGGAGTTAGCAGTAGGCGTTTATTAACATCTGTGCGATTTGCAAATGCAGTAATAATTAAGGAGGATGGTGTCCCAGGTGTTTGGCTTCTCTTAAAGAGTTTTTGCTTCGAAGCAGTTTTTGCTTCCCTTTTTAAAAATTGAATGTCTGGAGAGGAATATCATTAGCTGTGCAGAGAAGCTGACTGTTTTCACAGAAATAAGGGCTGCTTTTTGTCTCTCTGCTAATGTAGAGGTAAGATAATGAAAGCAGAGCAGTGAATGTCAGTATGATGTAAAAATACGTTGGTTTGATTTTCTTACAGAGCACAGAAGAGACGGCAGAAGAAGACAGTTTACAAATGCTAAAAAGAAAAAACGACAGGCAGAAAGGTGCGACTCACTTCAGAGACGAGTGACTCTCCGTGCTCCGCAAGGGAGCGAGAGTCTGATGTGCAGAATGACTGTGCAGGTTTTGATTGTGCAGTGAACAAATCTCTGTGCTTTGGCCAAGATTTGCTGTGTGACGTGAGACGCTGAGTTCACCTGGGATTTTTTGAACGCCCCTGCTCTGGCTGGCTGCTGTGTTCAGAAGGACGTCGTGTTCTGCAGGACGTCTCCAGCAAACAGGGGTGCCTCTGCCTGACCCCCTCCTCCTCCATATCAATTCGGTTAAATCTAAAATGGAATAATTTCCTCTTTACCTCCGTCTCCTTGTGCTGAGCCCCTCTTGAAGGAAAAGAGGGGTGCAGTTTTGCCAGGTGGTACTCTGGAATGGGTCAGTAGAGGAGAGGCTGTGAGGAGAGGGTGTGGGGCAGTAACCCAGCAGCGAGAAAGGAGTTCAGTGCCCTGTGAACAGGAGCTCAAGGTCACTGCATAGGAATGGGGCTGCCTAATGTTTTTTTCTGAGTTTTTACAACCAGTAAAGAATCCTGGAATACTCAGGGCATCCAGTGTAGGTGAAATGGCATTTCTTTTCTCACAGATGTCTCCAGTAAAAAGTAACATTGTTTTCAGTGGAGCCTGGGAGACTTGTGTGAGCTGTCTGGTAGCTCTTTGGTTTTAAACAGCCCATTGAATTGATCTTACTGAAACCTATCACTGACCTGCTGCTCTGAGATGAAAGAAAAATAGGTAGTTACTGCCCTATATATAGGGCCTACTGACAAAGTAGGTATATAAAATGGGCTGTAATAAATGAGTTTAACACCTGGATCACTTGGAATAAAAGTAGCCTTAATCTCTTAACCAAACCAAACACCACTTCACTTGCACTATTTTCTATCCTTTAGCCTGTTCAGTCCACGGTGGGGTCCTGAGGACTGGAATTGAAAAAAAAACCCAAAACCCAAGATAAATCACCTGCTTTCCTATACTGGGGGAGAGGAGGTATTGGGAGGCTTTAGGAATGCTGCATTTAGAGGTGTGGAGATACTTGCTTCTGATGAGTAAAGCCAAATCTAGACTTTAGGTAATTTTATACCAGTGCAATGCTTACATTTGCCTGACCACGTTTTTGTTCCCACTGAGAAGCGTTGAGTGGTACCTGGTGGAGATGGGGGTTTGCATAAATATTTGTTACTGGAAGGGGGGCTTTAACGAATGTTTTTGTTTCTGAGCGAGTAAGGCCCGTGCAGGGTCACTTCTGCATGAGAGTTTGTGTTCTTATATTTTAACAGTCCGAATAGACTTTCTTAGGAAATGCAAGCAAGCCGGGCTTCTAGATGACATATTTGAAGAAATGCTGGACACGCTTCACCTGGCACAGGAAAAACTGATGGATGACAACACTTCTGAAACAGGTATGGAGGCCTGCGGGTGACCATGTAAATCTGTGGTGCTCTTACAGCTTCGCAGAGGGGCCAGCTGTGTGTTAATATCAGAAAAATCCTTGACTCTACATTTTAAATCTTTGGATGATTAGTTAGAACTTCTGTGTCAATTGTTAGTGCGTGTTTAGGGGCTTTATGGGTTTAAGTATCAGCTTGTATGAAGCACTTTGTTCTCAGAGGATTCCACTTTGATGTTGGGTTGTCCACAACACAATGAAAAAAAGAAACTATCAAACCTTCCTCTCCTGTTGTCCTCCCACCTTTACAAGTTACAAATAATACTTTTGGATAAAGAATGCTAACTCATGCAAAGGAACTGAAGCCCGTGCATGGGAAGTGAAATGTCCCACCTGGCTACATCTTCCTCAGGAGCAGCTTGCGTGTAACATGACAGCAGCTGCTGAAGCAGTAGTGAACTCAGGACACAATGAAGAGAGGTTCGGAAGTTTTCACCATTAAGCAAACCTCTTAATGGTCATGCAGACTCTGTTGTCATTTGTACATGTAGGGCTCTGCATTAACATGAGGGTTCTGTAAACCTTTACACACTAATATTAAATCAAATTATTTCTTTCCCCAGAGTATGAAGAGACAGTGATGTCCCTTTTTGACTGTGGACTGTTTGAAAATATACTCACAAATATTCATTCAGGTATGTGAAAAAAGCTGTCTGAGCAGTAGCAGCTGGTACAGTTTTTGGCACTGAGGTTACGCTTCTGAGCATTGTGATAAAATGGCCATTTAAAATGAAAATTCTAAGGAACTTTTTTTTCAACTTCATACAAATGATTGGATAAAAGTCTTTGCTGTCTGAATCTGTAGAAACACAGTAAGTCACGTCTGGCTGGCTGACCTGAAGGAGAGGCAAGTGACACTTCCACAGCTTTAAAAGACTGAAGGGTCCTCACCCCAGAGGAACTTGTGCCCTGCCTCTGTGGGTTGTTTCCCTTCTCTGCCACCTCCCTTCAGCCGCTCGCCTGCCTCAGCTTTGCTCCCTTCTGATCAGTGCTGTTCAGACTGGCTGTGGCGTTTCAGTTCAGAGCATTGAACGCTATGAACAGAACTTACCTGGACCTGATGGTAATTAGAAGGTGCTTCAAAAAACGAGCTGGGAATGCATAGAGTGAAATGAGGACAAGGGCAGAAGCGGTTGCTTGGGACCAGCAGTGTGGAAGGAAACTTTGGGGCTTGGGCTCCAGTCATAGCTATTGTAAGCAATGAAGTTAAAACTGTTTTTCAGACAGGCAGGTCTCCTGCTCCCATTTCTCTCTAATGGTTAGCAGCCTTGTTCTAACTTCTGCTTTAAGTTATCCCTGTGAAAAGGAAAATGGGTTTTAATTAGCTAACGCTGAGCTCCAGTGCGTGAAAGTGGTGTTTACTAATGTCTGCTGTTTCCCCTTCACTCAAACTGAAAAAGCCAGGCTTCTCTCTTCGGTATCCTGTTCTCACATTTAAATTTCTCTTTTAGAAATGGGAGTGACGGTTGTAGTGTTATCTGACACAAGGTTCTGCCAGTGCCTCATTTGAGGGCTTTAAAACATCTCCACTTGTAATTCCTCATGTGACACAACCTTGGATCACACTTGTTTCTTTCACAGCTGCATCAATTATTTCATCCTCTTCTCAGCTTACATGAGAAATTTCTGATACTGGCACCTACGTACACACAACCGTGTGATTCTCATGTGTAAAAGTTGTCCCCTCTCCAGTTTCCCACTACTTGAGCAGCTCAGTTCCTCCTGTATCACAGTCTTTTCTGATACCATCAGCCTACTTTTAATTTCAAGGTCAGTAACGAAAACACTCATCACGCTTGGTTCCAAAACTCATCCAAGAGGAGCTCTCAAAGTGAACCAGTCAGAAAGGAATGAAAACCACATTACAAGTGAAACTGCAAAGAGGGAAGGAAATCACCAGCTTGTTTGGTTTGGTTTGTTGTTTTTTTTTACCTAATCTGCCTTCTAAGATCTAGCTAGCAAGTCTCAGTGATGACATACATACAAAGTCAAGGACTAAGTAAAGTGGGACTAGTATAGATACTGTGTCTCCTTTCATCTTTCTTCGGGAACTGATGACTTTGTTTCATCTGACATGCTTTACCTTGAACCCATTTTTTATCTTTTTTTTTACTTGGATCATCATGCAAAACCTGTCCTAAATAAAGCCTTATGTGTCAGCACAGCAAGGTTACTCTGAGCGGTAACTATTGATGCTGCTTTTTAAAATGCCTTTTGTATATAGGGATAGACGGTTCTTTTGTAGCATGCAGCTTTACTGCAAACTTGACTGCATGTAAAACTTTTCATGTGGGACCTGCTATCGCCTCATCAGTAATTTCAGATTTCTAGGTCAGAGGGTTTCATTCTCTCCTCCTTCAGTTTTGCTTTGTGTTCTGTTGTCGTGTGTCCTGCTTGGGGTGACACCTCAACCAGCTTTCATCTCTTTCTGCTGGTGAGCAGCCCGTCCAGTAGCTGTTGGGCTTCTTGGCACCATTTGTTTTCAGGGGATCTGTAGCAGTGGATTCTGACAAAGAAGGCAATACTTTCTTTATACTTTCTTATATTTAATGAAATATAACAAGGGAAAG